TCCTTGTTCGTGATTGCGGTGTTAACATTAAATGTATGCAATATTTTTCAATTTATTTTTAAGGAAAAATGTTAACATGTCTAAAGAAAATATTACAGTTTAGTTTTTTGCTTTTTTTTATATATGCAAATTTTATGATTTTACCCAACCCCTCCCACACATTTTGCATTGAATTTCGTGATTTTGTGAGTGAGAGTTAGGAAATTGTTTTAATTTTGTTAATCTACTAAATTTATAGTGCTTCTTAATTAAAACATTGCCTGCCATATGTTTAAGTGAAAAATCAAAAACATTTTACCTTACTTTGGATAAATATCCTGAAATAACTGTAAGCAAATAATTATTTATTTTTAAATTTAAAGTAATTTTACTTTAGATAAATTAAAATTAACAAAAGCACATACATATGTATATAAAATATATGCAAAAAAATATTTGGAAAGCAAAACATATAGACTTAACCTCACTTGGTTTTACGATGAATACCAAAATATTTAAGACTATATATAGCCATTTGTCAGCCGATATAACCGATCTAAAAAATTTTGAGAATCATTATAAAATAAGGATTTTTTAATCTGAGTACAATTTTGAACAAAACATATGAAATAGTGCCCCCATGAGATGGTGTAACTGAAGCACCTTCGTTTTGTGATTCGATCTAATGGACTACCAAACTTCTAATTGCACTACTTAATTATAGAGGAATTCCATTTTAAATTTAAAAGATTTGTGAGCACATTGAGATTCCAACTAGTTTCCGAGATATTATCAAAAATGTCCATGTATATTTACATAAATGTTTTTAAAATTCAAAAAAAATTATTACAATATAGATTACACCGTGAGACAAAATAAACGAAAACTTAAATACCTGGGAAATTATACTATTTGTCTGAAATGTGGATCCGAGAAGAACGAAAATCTGTTTTTGAAATTTGCCAAATACTTCCAAAATCTTGAGATACGTATAAAAAACTGATTTTTCGTACCTTTAATCACTTAAAAGTCAGTAACTTAGTCGAATCTCAACCGATTTGAAAAGAAGAAGCTGAAACCTATATAATGATATGGTGTTTATGTAACCTGGAGAAATATATTGCTCTCAGACCCCATAAAGTATATATATTCTGGGTCCTTGTAAAATTCTAAGACGATCTAGATATGGCCGTTTGTCTGTCCGTCTGTCTGTCTGTCCATCCGTCTGGACCTAGGAAGATGCAATTTTTCTAAAATATTATACATCGATCAGAAATGTTTGGTATTGAAAATAGGCAATATCGGTCCACGCCTTCACATAGCCCCCATATAAGTGACACCCCGGAATATTGTTTAAATCGTCGTAAAAATGTTAATTTGTCAGTAAATGTAATGAAATTGCGCACAAGTCAGTTTTAAGTATCCAGAAACTATTCTGTAAAGTATGGCTGATATTCCCCTATAACTGACCGTAGCCCCCATAGAAGCCCCACCTTCAAAAAGGACTTTAACGATCACAATTGGCCTAAAAGTACCAGTATAGCAATGAAATTCGACGGAAGCAAGTTTTTTAGGAACATAAATCTTTCTAATTAATTAGATTACGATCGGACCATATTTGAACCAATCCCCCATATAGGGTCCCCTTCAGAAATTAACTTTAACTCTCATTATGGCTTAAAAAAACGAATACAGCGATAAAATTCGACGTCAACGATTTTTGTATGAACTAAAGTCGCTCTACAACATTTTATGAGGATGGGTCCATAATTGACCCTACCCAACATATAAGGTCCCCTTCAAAAAATTACTTTATAGGTCATAACTGGCTTAAGAATACGATATGAACAACAACGAAAGCAAGTTTTTTAGGAACATAAATCTTTCTAATTAATTAGATTACGATCGGACTCATTATGGCTTTAAAAAAACGAATACAGCGATAAAATTCGACGTCAACGAGTTTTGTATGAACCAAAGTCGCTCTACAACATTTTATGAGGATCGGTCCATAATTGACCCTACCCTACATATAAGGTCCCCTTCAAAAAATTACTTTATCGGCCATAACTGGCTTAAGAATACGATATGAACAAGTTTTGTGGGAACTAAAATCTACCTACTAAATTTTATAACAATCTGTCCATAATTGATTCTACCCCCCATATACGGTCCCCTTCCGAAAATGACTTTAGAGCTCGTAACTAGCATAAAAGTAACAGTAATCCTTGTATTTTAAATTTATGCTATGGTTTCCGAGTTTAGAAACCCAGCATATAACCCATCTTTATGTATTTTCCAAAAATTTTTCAAATTTCAAATTGTGTTTAGTTAGGTCCATAATTGATCCAAGTCCCATAAAAAGACCTCTTCCAAAAATCAGGTTACTGTAAGTCCTATAATGGACTAATTCTGACAGAAGTTTACAATAATATTTATGTTATTATTCATGCTTATGGGCCATATATTTATATTACGGTGTTTGGATTAATTATGGGTCAAAACATTATATAATTTTTAGAAGCATTATATACATAGTATTTTGGATTTTATTTAAATACTGATTTATTTAAGTATTTTATTAACTGCAAACTCAATGTTAGGCCAAAAGTTCAATGTACTATTAAACAAGTTGTAATGTAAAACATAACAGAACATTTTTAAACTGCAATATAAAAATGTATTTCTAGGAAATTAAACGGAAAAAACAATAGTAAAGTTTTTTTTTTTCCAGAAATCTCATACAAAAATTAAAGATACAATTAAAATTGTATATTTATTTTCCTTTTCTACTTAGTTATTTAAATTGTTTAACAAATAAAAAACTTTATTATTTCCCAAAAACTTATGCCTGGAAGTGTAGCAAAAATAGCGAATAGCTTCCTGTCAGTAAACGAAAACAAAATTAGGACCGGAACATTTAATAAACTGTTAAATGATATACTAAAGCAATTTAAGAACTTTTTGTATATTTGTACATATATTTTTTGGTAAAAAACTAAACACCAAATAATAAAAAACAATATGCTCATACCACAGATCTTATTAATAATACGGACATGCTAGCGCAAAACAAACAAATATATAGTAATGTATACAAAACAATTAATGTACCGGGGTTGTTTGTCCAAAGCACATTTAGTATAAAAATGAATGGTGAAAAGTTGACACCAACTAACATTTTTTTTTTTCGAATACAATATAATTACACCAAACGATTTCTCTATAATGCTGAGCGCGATTACCGTTATTATATAATGTTTTAAAACTTATGTCTTTTACTTGGTGTCAACCTTTCACCATTAATATATTATTTTATTTTTTTTTTTTTGTACTGTAAAGAACAACACGAAAAAAAGTAATAAAAATTAAGTGTTTATTGCATTTTGTCTAAAAAATAAAATGAAACAGAACAAAAAAATGTTTGTTTTTAATTTGCAAAAAAATTATGTGCGAAATGATACGGAAAAATGTAGAAAAGTTTATATAAATAAAATATTTTTTGTTTTATTAAATGTGATGAATTTGTTTCGTATTTTATACACAAATTTCTGTCTATATTTTCAATTAGAAGATATAAAAATTAAAAAAAAAATGTTCCATATGTTTGAACAGAACAAATTAAGAAACATATGTACATTAGGGTGGCCCCAAAATGGAAGTTACTGATGTTTCCATCAGTGAAAATTTGGTTCATTCTATGATACCATTTCTCCATATTTTTGTCCTGACGTCAATATTTGTCGAGCTGGATCACAGCTCATTTCTAGCAAAGAAATCATATGCAAATTTAGTATCATATGACAGGACTTTGGGAGACAATTTCAATGACATAAGATAAATTTGTATACAACTCCAAAATTATTACAAATGTCGTAATTTTTTGGAAAATTTTTAAGTTTTTCAAATTTTTACATAGAATTATACAATGTAATTAATTGAAATTATTACATTATAAATCTCATACAATTTTACCGAAATGGTTTTTTCTGGTTTTAGAAATTCGTTATATTTTGTAGTTTATTTTAATATTTTAATATCTATTTTGTTCCAGGTTTTCTTATGATACCAAAATTTCTTATCTTTCCTTTGAAAGAAATATGAAAAAAAATTATAAAAACCTCAAAAAAGGACTTTTTTGTCTTTGATCCAGCTCACCAAATATTGACCACAGCACAAAAATTTTGAGAAACGGTACCTTATAATCAATTAAACTTTAATTTTAGTCGGGAACATCGACACCTTATTTTCCTCCATACAAACGGGGCTGCCCTAATGTCCATATGTATGTACATATTGTAAATAAAGTGTAAAAATTTTAATTGTAATAAAACAATACAACTTATTCTCTGCTATTATTTACCTCTCTTTGCACCCTATACGTATAAGTAACAAAATCAAAATGAAAATTCCTCATACGCCCAAGGGATTGTTGATGTTTATAGTATAAAAATAGAAGTAGTATGTCAAGAATGGTAATGTTATTACGATTTTACTTGTTTGTGTGGGAATGGAGGCGTTCACTCACAAAATGTAATAAATCATGTATGATTACAGGTATAAATAAATTTCATAAACATAGTAATCACTCTAACTAAATTCTGGAAAGATGGCTCGACTATAGAAGCTTCCTACTGTAGTACCTATGTGTTACACATAACTATAAAACGAAAAAGATTTTTAACTTTACAACAAATACACCTTAAGACATATGATTTGAAATTATTTATAAATATAATTACTTAAAAATGGTTTCCCCTCTTCTGCATTAAATCGAAACATTTTTCTTTAAATACAGAAATAATTTGCAAATATTTATTAACCCCAATGCTCTTGTAAATTAATGAAATAATAATTTTTACATTTTATAACACAAATAAAAATAAACTAAAATAAATATAGTGAAATGTTAATTAGATACAAATTCTCATAAACAAATTAAACTAAGTGATTTTTAATGCCGAAACATTTATGGAAAATCACATAAATCATTAGTTGTTATTGCGAAAAAAAAACAATAATAAGAACAACAATATTAAAAGTAAATAAAATCACACTTTATTGGCAAATACAAAAGTGAAATAATAAATGTTGCAATAAATTAAAAATTTTCATAAACAAACACACGTTGTCCAAAATTCTCAATAAAAACTATTATGAATGAAAGCAGTATTCGAAATATAATTGCATTGATTTAATATAAATGAATAATAATGTGCTGCATACAAAAACGTTTATAAATTATAGAAACTATTAACTCATCAATAACATTATTGTTTTGTTAACAAAAATGGTAAGTATGTAGTCGTAATTTCTTCCAATAAGATTTTATATCTTTGAAACTTTGAAAGGTTCATAACCAGGAATATGCAAATGCTTGTTTTTTATGGTGCGTCGTAAAGGCTCATGGACAAGATTAACACTGCTATTTTAAGATCATATTTTATGCATTTAAAGAGCATATTTTTCTTTTACTGCATATTGATATAATGGTCATAAAACACTTTTTTAAGCCTATTTTTGGGTTCCCTTTACATAAACCATCATACGTCCAATATACTATTGGGGTAGTAAAGTTTGTTCGAATAAATCAAAATCGGTCAACAAGTAAGGTAGATGTGGTCAGCATACCCCCCCAACTAAAAATGTGTAGTGTATAATAAATTAAAATACTATAAAAAATTTAATTATTTTTTAAAACACACTATGGTGAAGGACGCAGTCGAATACATAACACATATTTGTTTTTTCTTGAGATTTTATATTTTTACAAATATACATTATACATATGCAAATTTTATAAGAATATTATATCAGTTTTAATTTTGTCAGATTCCCTTAATGTTTACATTTTCTCTTTAAAGTAAATAGTAATAAAATAAAATGTATTAAGAGAAAACCATTATGATATTAAAATACACACAAGACCTAAATGGTGTAATAAAATACCAAATGCAAAGCACAGTAGTGAATAAACTAAGTAAATTATTGTGAACATTTTGTTTTGAATTAGACAAAAAAATTCTCAATCTAGGGAAGTTTATATACATAGCTAAATAAAAATTAGCACATGTGTATATAGTTTTGTAATGATGTCTTAAGTAATTTTTATGATATTTGACCTCTAACTTTAGTCTCTTATTTAGGAGCTTTGTAAAACATTATAAATTATTTTCTTTTTAATTTAAGATTTTAAGTAACATTTTTAGAGATAACATTAAGTTTGTTTAAGAAAATTTCGCTAGCTGTATAATATTTCATATCAAAAAATTTTGATTTTGCCCCACTGTGCCTTGTATCCTTATGTACATACATATCCAATCATTTCCTTTTAGCCCGATAAAATGAAATTATATATATGTATGTATATAATAAAATGTCCATTATGAAGATGTCAAATATTTGTTTGTTTGTACTACTCAATACTCAAGGTCATTCAATTTATTCATCCATTCATTCATTCATTCTATACCACAGACTAAATAAGTAATAAAAACCATTAAAACACAACAGAATACAATCAAATGAATTTCTCAATAACTTCTATTTTGATGACACATTTCTTCAAACTAACGTCAGCACAGTGTAGTTGTATTTTGTTTGTTTTCATTTGTTTTAATGTCAGTTGTGCTTTTCATTTCATTTGTAGCCGCAGTATAATGGAAAACAAATATAAACTGATCGAAACCAACTAAAACACTCACTCATATATTCAATCACGCATATAGAAAAAATGAATATAAATACATAAATAAACAAATCAAATTTAAGATTAATAAATAGTGGAAACTTATTCTTGTTGTCTTTAAAGGAAAATTCGCTAAATTGACGTAATGATTAGGAAAATGGCTTAAATACATATATTTGTGTTCAAGTGGAATGAAAGCAAATTAGAAATTTAATTTCTCTTCTGTACTCACGCTCGGATTAGAATGTCAATACCGAAAATCCTCGGATGATTTTTTGTTTCTATCATTGTTGGATGACCCACCCGGTCCTATAATGTTAGATTGAACTGAACTAGAACTGAACTAGAACTGAACTAGAACTGAAATAGAACTGAACTAGAACTGAACTAGAACTGAACTAGAACTGAACTAGAACCTGAACTAGAACTGAACTAGAACTGAACTAGAACTGAACTAGAACTGAACTAGAACTGAACTAGAACTGAACTAGAACTGAACTAGAACTGAACTAGAACTGAACTAGAACTGAACTAGAACTGAACTAGAACTGAACTGAACTAGAACTGAACTAGAACTGAACTAGAACTGAACTAGAACTGAACTAGAACTGAACTAGAACTGAGCTAGAAACTGAACTAGAACTGAACTAGAACTGAACTAGAACTGAACTAGAACTGAACTAGAACTGAACTAGAACTGAACTAGACTGAACTAGAACTGAACTAGAACTGAACTAGAACTGAACTAGAACTGAACTAGAACTGAACTAGAACTGAACTAGAACTGAACTAGAACTGAACTAGAACTGAACTAGAACTGAACTAGAACTGAACTAGAACTGAACTAGAACTGAACTAGAACTGAACTAGAACTGAACTAGAACTGAACTAGAACTGAACTAGAAACTGAACTAGAACTGAACTAGAACTGAACTAGAACTGAACTAGAACTGAACTAGAACTGAACTAGAACTGAACTAGAACTGAACTAGAACTGAACTAGAACTGAACTAGAACTGAACTAGAACTGAACTAGAACTGAACTAGAACTGAACTAGAACTGAACTAGAACTGAACTAGAACTGAACTAGAACTGAACTAGAACTGACTAGAACTGAACTAGAACTGAACTAGAACTGAACTAGAACTGACTAGAACTGAACTAGAACTGAACTAGAACTGAACTAGAACTGAACTAGAACTGAACTAGAACTGACTAGAACTGAACTGAACTGACTAGAACTGAACTAGAACTGAACTAGAACTGAACTAGAACTGAACTAGAACTGAACTAGTAGAACTGAACTAGAACGCTAGAACTGAACTAGAACTGAACTAGAACTGAACTAGAACTGAACTAGAACTGAACTAGAACTGACTACTAGAACCTGACTAGACTAGAACTGAACTAGAACTGAACTAGAACTGAACTAGAACTGAACTAGAACTGACTAGAACTGAACTAGAACTGAACTAGAACTGAACTAGAACTGAACTAGAACTGAACTAGAACGGAACTAGAACTGAACTAGAACCTGAACTAGAACTGAACTAGAACTGAACTAGAAACTGAACTAGAACTGAACTAGAACTGAACTAGAACTGAACTAGAACTGAACTAGAACTGAACTAGACTGAACTAGACTGAACTAGAACTGAACTGAACTGAACTAGAACTGAACTAGAACTTGAACTAGAACTGAACTAGAACTGAACTAGAACTGAACTAGAACTGAACTAGAACTGAACTAGAACTAGAACTAGAACTGAACTAGAACTGAACTAGAACTGAACTAGAACTGAACTAGAACTGAACTAGAACTGAACTAGAACTGAACTAGAAACTGAACTAGAAACTGAACTAGAACTGAACTAGAACTGAACTAGAACTGAACTAAACTGAACTAGAACTGGAATCTAGAACTGAACTAGAACTGAACTAGAACTGAATAGAACTGAAACTAGAACTGAACTAGAACTTAACTAGAACTGAACTAGAACTGAACTAGAACTGACTAGAACTACTAGAACACTGAACTAGAACTGACTAGAACTGAACTAGAACTAGAACTAGAACTGAACTAGAACTGAACTAGAACTGAACTAGAACTGAACTAGAACTGAACTAGAACTGAACTAGAACTGAACTAGAACTGAACTAGAACTGAACTAGAACTGAACTAGAACTGAACTAGAACTGAACTAGAACTGAACTAGAACTGAACTAGAACTGAACTAGAACTGAACTAGAACTGAACTAGAACTGAACTAGAACTGAACTAACTGAACTAGAACTGAACTAGAACTAGAACTGAACTAGAACTGAACTAGAACTGAACTAGAACTGAACTAGACTGAACTAGAACTGAACTAGAACTGAACTAGAACTGAACTAGAACTGAACTAGAACTGAACTAGAACTGAACTGAACTGAACTAGAACTGAACTGAACTGAACTAGAACTGAACTAGAACTGAACTAGAACTGAACTAGAACTGAACTAGAACTGAACTAGAACTGAACTAGAACTGAACTAGAACTGAACTAGAACTGAACTAGAACTGAACTAGAACTGAACTAGAACTGAACTAGAACTGAACTAGAACTGAACTAGAACTGAACTAGAACTGAACTAGAACTGAACTAGAACTGAACTAGAACTGAACTAGAACTGAACTAGAACTGAACTAGAACTGAACTAGAACTGAACTAGAACTGAACTAGAACTGAACTAGAACTGAACTAGAACTGAACTAGAACTGAACTAGAACTGAACTAGAACTGAACTAGAACTGAACTAGAACGGAACTAGAACTGAACTAGAACTGAACTAGAACTGAACTAGAACTGAACTAGAACTGAACTAGAACTGAACTAGAACTGAACTAGAACTGATCTAGAACTGAACTAGAACTGACCTAGAACTGAAATAGAACTGAACTAGAACTGAACTAGAACTGAACTAGAACTGAACTGAACTGAACTGACTAGAACTGAACTAGAACTGAACTAGAACTGAACTAGAACTGAACTAGAACTGAACTAGAACTGAACTAGAACTGAACTAGAACTGAACTTGAACTGAACTAGAACTGAACTAGAACTGAACTAGAACTGAACTAGAACTGAACTAGAACTGAACTAGAACTGAACTAGAACTGAACTAGAACTGAACTAGAACTGAACTAGAACTGAACTAGAACTAAACTAGAACTGAACTAGAACTGAACTAGAACTGAACTAGAACTGAACTAGAACTGAACTAGAACTGAACTAGAACTGAACTAGAACTGAACTAGAACTGAACTAGAACTGAACTAGAACTGAACTAGAACTGAACTAGAACTGAACTAGAACTGAAATAGAACTGAACTAGAACTGAACTAGAACTGAACTAGAACTGAACTAGAACTGAACTAGAACTGAACTAGAACTGAACTGAACTAGAACTGAACTAGAACTGAACTAGAACTGAACTAGAACTGAACTAGAACTGAACTAGAACTGAACTTGAACTGAACTAGAACTGAACTAGAACTGAACTGAACTAGAACTGAACTAGAACTGAACTAGAACTGAACTAGAACTGAAACTAGAACTGAACT